GTCTCTGAACCCACTGGGGTGAGCTGAACTCCGGCGGGAGGCGGGCTGCTAACCAGTAAGCAAGTTGTAAAAACCCAGCTCAGACACAACATCTGGCAGCTGCTTCAAATAGTTCTCTGTCTGCAGTTGGAGTGGCTCACGGCCCTCCTGTAAATCAAACCATGTGCATGGAGGAGCCCTGTGCTGCCGACCAAGGCACCCCTGCCTGGCCCGGGGCCCAGCCGAGCCTCCAGCCTCCCGACATCTTTAAATAGCTCGGGGTTCACATTCCATGTCCTTGTAGGACCAGTTCAGAGTGGCCCGCAGGAGGGGCTGAGGGAGGCCAGCCACACCGCTGTCCCGTAGAGAGACAGAGGGGGACACCTTGGCACCTGGGGCTCCAGAGTTCTGTTCCCGGTGACCCCAGCAATGGTCGCCCTCCCCAGACTTCGGACCCATGCACTTAGCCAGAGGGGACACCCAGAGACAGTCCAAGCTGAGAAGCCAGACACAGAGGCCGCATGGGGTACGACTCCATTGGTTTGAGACATCCAGAACAAACCCAGCGAAGCAGGAAGTGGATTATTGGTTGCCAGGGGTTTCTCATGGGTAAGGGTGGCTTTGGGGTGACGGGAATATTTTGGAACCAGATGGAGGAGATGAAGAGCTGCTCTTGAGTGACTGCTCCTGCGGCAGGGTCATGGCTGGGCAGTGGCTTGCAGACCTGACCATGTCTCCATGCTCTTGGTTCAGCTTTCCAGGGATTCATTTCATTGGGGCGACTGAGGCTCAGGGGAGGAGCACAGGCCAAGGTTGCCCTGCCTGCACTCTGACCACTTCCCTGGGAGCCCGCCTGGCTCAGTCCTGAGAGGCCCTGCTGTGCATGGGCGAGACGTAGGCATCGCCACTCTGATGCCCCACGGCGGTACAGCTGACTCCCCCATGGGATCTTCCACCGCATGGGCTACCTAGCTGCCCCAGTTCCCGCAGGATCAAGAGGGATCCACACAGGGGCCTCTGTGACTGCACACTTCTGGGACCCAGATTCTCAGACCTGGACGTTTGCGTCTCAAGCTTCCTGGGATTAATAAGCCACACCTCTAGGGACAGCTGCGGGTCCATCATCAGTGGGCTGGAGGAGGCCTTTGTGTCTCAAGCAGACCTGGATGAGTTGTGACTGGGGCCTGGCAGGAAGGCAGACCGTGGGCCAGGCCAGAAGTCGGGGCCACCTTCCCTGTGGCAGGCTGCCTCAGCCTGGACTTCACCGAGCGTGTCCGCGCTGGCTGGGAAAGTCACTATTGGAAGGGAAGGGACAGCAGCGCTCTTGTCTGACCTAGGAAGAGGGGTTCCAGAGGAGTTACTTTTCTCTTTTCTTACAACAAAACACTCAGGCACAGAAGAGGACCCTGCAGCCCAGTGCACCAGGAGGATGGTCAGGCTGCATCCTGCCTACCAGCGGCCGAGTCCGAGAAACCCTAGGACAACCATGAGTGCCTTCCTCCGGGTGCTCTCAGCCAGGACATCATTTGTTGATTCTTGAGCCCAATCCCAGCTCATGATTTCCTCCCCGGTTACCATGGCCCCATCCAGAAAACAGCAAACTCCTGGCCCTGGGCAGCTCATTTATTTCAAATATTCCTTGCAGCTGGAATCCAACCATGTTTGGGTGTCTGGATTGGAGCATGAACTAATTGCTCTGTCTTCGGCCCCCTCCCCAGCTCCCCAGCATAGTTTATGGTTCAGTAAAGTCCACATTCCTCATCCCGCCGAGGAACGGGAGGATGGAGACGGGAGTCTTCCCATCTATGGCCAAGCCCCGAGCGCCGGCTACCTGCTCGAAGGCAGGGGATTAATTACAACCACATGGGCCAAGTCTGCACAGATGGTTTTATTAATACCGCTCCCTTCAGCACAGAACCCTGCTCCCCCAGAAGGCTCCGGGCAGCACAAAGGCCCTCATTTTCCCCTTGCCTCCTCCGCACCCCCATGCTTGACCCCACTCCTCCCCGGCCACCCCTTCAAAGGGAGCCCGAGTTCCAACTGCAACCCAGACATGAACTCCAACCTAAAAATAACTCGACCACCCCTTCCCTCTGCCCTCGACTGGGGCAGGCATCTGGGGCTCCTTTCCCCAGTAGTCATATCAATCTTTGGAGGACTTCACCGGAAGGTGGATCGGGAACATGGTCCTTCCTCTGAGCCCCATTGCAGGAAGTGTCCTAGCTCCAGAAGGCCCTGTTCTTACAGCACTTGCTGGGACAACATGCCTGGATGTTGGGCCCTGTTTTGGAAGCCTCCTGCCATCCCATCACCTGCCTATGAGACAGGCACAGCAATGAACGCTGTCTTACAGAGTCTCGTGCACAGCCACAGAGCCATTATTTGAACCCACGTCTGACTCAAGCATCTATGTGCTCATTCCCGGCCAAGCCACCAACACACTGAGCAAATCTCCTTTTACCCAGCAACTCTGTAAGAGAAAGCTGATGCAGTCACAGACCGTGGAGTCTAACTCAGGCAAAGTCACCTGGGGAATCTGGGAGAGAGTACAGATTCCTAGGCCTGGCCCCAGAAATGTTGATTCTGCCCAGCTCAGGTGGGGCCCTGGAAACCTGCATTTTAACATATATTTTCCAGGAGCTCCTGAAGCAGATCTCAGAAAAGCTAGTCAGGAGGCTCTCGGAGAAAGAGAGGGTACCTCAGACCAAGCACCCCAGGAGGATGAAAAATCCCCATTTGAGCTGGTTCTTCAGAAACCCTCCTGACACTGAGTAGGCTGCTTGACTATTCACAGTATCACTCATCCATCCTCCAAACAAGCCGGAATTTCCTGTCCTTTCTGCCAGGGCCTCTGCTGCAGCGGTTGGCAGAACAGGTGCACCAGGCAAAGGCTCTTAGGTGTCTCTGTGGGCTGGATACCGGGGACACAAAACGAACAAAGATCTGTTCCATCTGCTGAGCGCCAAGCGCTGGCCCGGACTCTGAGGATGCCACACGGCCTCTGCTCTCCTCCTGACAAGATCAGAGTTAGTGTGAGCTCTCTACTCCATCTGCAGCATCTGTGTCCCCACGAGGGACACAGGGTTCCAGGCTTCTGAAAGGCATGTTCTGTGATCAGCCCTCTGGGACTTTCTTCCACCACCCAAGGCCTTGGCTGGCACCCTACTCTCTGCCAAGGGAGGAAGCAAAAATCCCAGGCAGTGTTGGGGCCTGGGTCCAGCAGTCTGGATCCCAGCCCTCTTTCCTCTTCCCGGAAGCACAAAGGACTCCACAGTGGTTTCATATCTTAGCAAACATTTATTAGTTACTGACTAGTATGAGCCACCATAAAATAAAACAGGAGTTTCAAAACTGTACAAGGCTCTGGGCAGATGGGAAAGGAAGTGGGGTGGGGTCTCAGGGAGTCAGGGGGTGGGAGGTGTGGAGAGAGCATGTGGTTCACCAGCATCCCGGGGTGACACATGTGCCTGAGTACGAGTGAACCTCTCTCACGTGCAACACTCTTCACAACAGGAGCAAGGAAGACCTTCAAGAGTCCGACAGGTAAGACCCTTGCCCCCAAAGGGGAAAATAGCCCTCAAAATATGAAGGAGGTAATTTAAATTCCTACCTAGTCTTGGCACTGATTTTGTGCTTTAAAAAATATATTCCAATGGAAATCTTTTTTAAAGTACCCTACAGCAGCTGCTTACAACATAATTCTTGTGGACAAATATATATGTATATATATTAAACTTTAAATAAAGTCATCTATTGTACCTGTGCAGACATGAAAGGATCTTGGACTCTAAAGGAGCTGAATTCCAGATAAAAGCAATGTCAAGGCGATGGCGGGTGTAGGCACACGGTGAGGGGAGTGGTCGGCCTGGGGTGTGAGGGTGACTGGAAGCAGCTCCCTGTGCGCTGAGCCCTGGTGAGGCGCTGAGCGGAGACCACAGCTCCCACGGGCTCAACTCCACTCCTGCTTTCTGTCTCTCCCTGCCCATGGCTTCCCAGGATGGAGACCCATTCTTCGTTCTCATGGTCCCCGGGGCCAGGGAGCTTTGAGTATGTCCGTGGGAAAGTAATCTCATCTAGAAAAGCAGATGTAAAGTGGAACCGTCCCTCTCTCCCTCAAATTCCTAGATGGCGAAAGAGCTGCAGGCACGTGCAGTGAGTGACGTGTAAGCTCAGAGGTAAGTGGCTGTGTGAGGACGCCGGCGCCTGCACGGCCTCCCGGAGGGGTTCCCAAGACTCGTATTGCACACGAGGCTGCGCCCCCTGAAAGGCCTGCTGGGGACATCAGCACAGAGCCCCGGACACCAATCAGGGACCTGACAAGGACCCTGCACACAGCAACACGTGCCACAAGCGTGGCCCAGAGGGGCCGGGTGCAGCATACACGCCACAGGGAGGTGGCAGGTGGGAGGAAGGCAACAGAACACCCCAGAGAGAGGTGACTAAAACAAGGCTCCCTTTCTAAGTGGAATAAATAAATGGCCTTTGTTATTGTTAAAAGAATAAATACGGGATGGGTGCTGGGGGCCCATTTGCCTGTGGGAGGAGCGACTTGGGGTTCCGGCTTCTGGCACAGCCCAGCCCTTTGCCTGCCTGGTATCTGCCCCAGCCCTGGCACCTCCCGCAGCCTCCCCAACCCCCCACCCCCACCCGTGGTGGCTGCAGCCGTCACCAGAGGCATGGTGAGCAGCCCAGTCCCCTCCCAGAGCAGACAGGCGCTGCGTGAGGCTTTAGGAGGTGTTTATTCTGCATCAGGTTCCAAGGAGGGACTGCAGTGGGCAGCCCGGGAAGGGAGGAGCGGAGCCCGGGAGGCATCGTCTGGCCCAGCAGAGGCAGCTGGAGGGTGAGCGCTGGCACCGTGGCTGTGGTCCTGGCGCAGGGGCGGTGCCCAGGGCTCAGTGGGGTGGGCACCGTTGGCGGTCGTGGCGTCCCGGCTGCGTCACTGGTAGAGGAGGTAAGCCTTCAGCGAGGCGGGCAGCGGCAGCGC